TAACAAGGGCTGTAACACTAGCTGTACACACTGCCACAACAGTGATAGGGATACAAAATGGTAAAGCCACTCTGGAAAATAATTTGAAAGTTTCTCATAAAACTAAAAATGAACCTACCATATGACTCAGCAATTGCACTCTTGGGCCTATATCCCAGAGAAATGAAGACTTATGAAGGGTCACAAAAAAACTTATACACTAATGTTACACTTTATTCATAATAGCCCCAAACTAGAAACTACCCTAATGTCTTTCAATGGGTGAATGCTTAAATCTTAGCACATCCATACCATGTGCATGGTTTGAACGTGTCCCCTCCAAAATTTATGTATTGGAAACTTAAATCCCTAATGCAACAGTGTTGGAAGGTGTGGCCTTTTGGGAGGTGTTTAGGTCATGAGTGAGTTCAGTTTCTTTCATCCTTCTGCCATGTGATGACACAGCAAGAAGGCCCTCACCAGACCAAAAGCTGGTGCCTTGATCTTGGACTACGGCCTCCAGCACTATGAGAAATAAATTTCTGATCTTTATAAATTACCCAATCTAAAGTATTCTGTTATACCAGCACAAAATGGACTAAGACACCATGGAATACTACTCACCAGTAAAAAAGAAGGAACTACTGATACATACAAAAACTTGGATAGTCTTCAAAGAAATTATGCTGTGTAAAAAAAAAAAACTCAATCTCAAAAGAATAAATATTGCATGACTCCATTTATATAACATACAACATTTGTTAACATAGTTACAGAGATGGAGTATAGATTGATGGCTGCCAGAGGTTAGAGATGGAGCAATAGGGAGTGGCAATGGCTACAAAGGAGCAGAACAAAGAATTCTCAGTAGTGAGGTATAGTCAAGTATCTTTTGTGCTGTGGCATCAGCCTAGCTCACAGCAACCTCAAACTCCTCGGCTCAAGCAATCCTTCTACCTCAGCCTCCTGAGTAGCTTGAACTACAGGCATATGCCACCATGCCCAGCTAATTTTTTCTATATATTTTTAGTTGTCTGGCTAATTTTTTCTATTTTTACTAGAGACAGGGTCTCACTCTTGCTCAGGCTGGTTTCAAACTCCTGACCTTGAGTGATCCTCCCGCCTTGGCCTCCCAGAGTGCTAGCAGTCAAGTATCTTAATTGTCATGACTACATGAAGCTACACATCATGAAATTGCATATAGCTACTACACACACAAATGAGTGCATATATAATTAGTGAAATCTGAATAAGCTTTATCTATAGGTTGTACCACTGTAAATTTCCTAATTTTGATACAAGGAATCACTCTATCATTTATGCAAAATTTTAACATTGGGAGAAGTTAGGTGGAAAGGCGCACAGTACCTTTTTGTACATTTCTTTGCATCCTCCTGTGACTATAATTATTTCAGAATAAAAAGTTTAAAAAGAAACGATGCAAGAGCCTTGATAAGACTTGCTTCAAAAATAATAGTATAATACTACTAGGGACAACTGGGAAAATGTGAAAAGGAGTGGGTTATCAGAGGATAACAGGAAATTATTGCTCATTTTCTTAGGTGTGACAATGGTATCATACAGTTATGCAAAAAAAGTCATTATTCCAAGAACATATGTCCTGAAATATTTAGGGGTGAAGTGTTTTACTTACTTTCAAATGGTCACAAACACATAAAGAAATATACATACATATTCACACATAAGTAAATACACAAATACATACACATGTAAACATATGTATACACATCATATGTATACACATATATACATAAATATAAAAACACATGGCCTTGTGAATATACATATGTATATACTCATATACATGTAATATGCACATAAATACACATATACCCAAAAATATATGTATGCATAATATACCCCACATATATACACATACACACAAATATATACAGTCACATATACAAATATAATATACATTATCAACACATAATATATAACTGCTATAATTACATGCATATAAAACAAATCTGATAAAACACTAATTGCTGAATCTAGGGTTAGGTCATAGGCATTCATTACACTCTTTTTTCTACTGTTCTGTCAGAGTATTTTAGAAACCTGTCAAAATAGAAAGTAGACAGGGGAAATATAAGTGCTTCTTAGAGAGGTACTCCAACAAGGATTAGCATTCATTAACACCTTGATGTGAATGACTTTATAACAGCTTTCTCAAAAGGTGTTCAAGAAATGGTTATTAGTGTTCTAGTGGGGAAGAATATGATGCTAACTGGGAGCTGTTTAAAAAATACCTTGGAGTTACCACCCTGGGAAAATGCAAAGCTCATAAAGTCCTTTCCAGGCAGTAGGTTTTGATGCAGGACAGAACACAAAGGCTATGGGTGTCAGCCTCTAAGAATTGGGGTTCAGGTAAGGCAAAGTCATTCAAACCACTCACAGATTCTTCTGGCCCTCTACCAGCTCCCAGTAGCTGGCAATGGTTCCAAGTTCAAAGCTATTTAATCTCTTTACTAGCTAAATATGATTCTCATAAAATGCAAGTAAATGAAAATAATTCTATTTTAGATTTAACAGGAGAGCTTGCTATTTAAATAAAATCTCAAATTCCATTTAAATATTTTACTATTGAAATCACTGAAAATTAATATAATGCATGGTCACTGTAGAAAATTTGTAAAACATAAATAAGTACAAAGAAAATAAAAATCATCTATAGTATCAATGTTAAGTTGGGTGCATTTACTTCTTATTTTCTTCCCAGAGAATCGTTTTGACAAAGGTGGAGTCAAACTATATATAACTTGAGTCCTTTTTTTTGTTTTCCCTGAGTTAACATTATATTATGGGTAGTTCCCACATCATTAACATGCATTTGTTGGCACATAAAAATGGCACAGCCTTTTTGGAGAACAATTCAGAAGTACTAGGTTAAAATAAAAATTTTAAATGCAAAGTAATGTGGTGGGTGAGCAGAGCCATACTGTTTACAATGACATAAATTAAAATTCAATGCTAACATCAGAGGACTTCACATTTAGTATGTGGTGTTTCATCAAAGTCTTGCTCCAGTTACATATGTATGTAGGTCATGATGTATCAAAAAAGTTTGAAAAACACCAGGCTATGGAATCACTTACAAGGATACACGTTCAAGATGACCCCTAAAGCACTGGTGGAAATGCTGAAAGCCCGAAAACTTCCATGTCCATTAGCAGGGAAGGCAAGACAAATTAAAATCATCACAAGGTAGAATACTATATAGCAATGAAAACTGTATGCACTAAAAGCTCCATCTAGTACAAGGTTGGTGAGAGAAGCAGGTTGCAAAGGTTCATATCACATCAAGCACACCAATTCCAAACACACACACACACAAACCACACTCCATATTGCTTGAGGCTGCAGATATTATAATGGGAAAAGCTCTAACAAAGGCCTGGGTACACTAGATAAATGAGTGCTGGATGCATCACACGCTCCTTCTATGATCTCAAGTTTCTGCAACAAGGGTTAGCTTCCTGTGGTCACATAGGGATGGCTCTTTTTCATTCATTCAGCAAACACTGGTATTGTGTGCCAGGCCCTGTTCTAGGCACTGATAATTCAGCAATGTATCAGACAGATGAAGACCCCACCTTGTAGAGTGAGGATTCTAATTGAGGAGACATAGGCAAAGAATGAAATGCAGAATGTGTCACTGTCACTCACTCACTCTTCAAACTCAGGAAGCACAGAAACATGGATGATCCAGGTCTGAGGTAGGTCTGATCCAGTATCTGAGTTAGGGCTGGTATCCCTGACTGTCCCAATCTCCACCCACTGCCCACAACTCTAAAACCAAGCAACTTCAGAGAATGAACTGCCCAAGGAAGAAGCCAGGGCTCTGATTTTCACTCTGATGCAAGCTCCTTACCACCTGCATCCCAGCAGCAAACAGTTGCTGGGCTAGCAGCCCAGTCCTGGGGATTGTAAAGATTCTGGCTGTCACTGGGTGAGGACAGGGTTTAAAGTAGAGGAGGGGCATGATCTGACAGGCTCCCAGTGTATCCTGGGGAAGGCAGGAAGCAGGAAGGTGCCTGTACCAAGGAGAAGGGTTATGATGAAGTCGTTGAATTCTGGAAATATAGCAGAGATAGAGGAATGGAATTTTGGACAGGGACTATGTGGGAGTTGGGGGAAAGAGAAACATCCAGGTGGGTATTGAGGACTGTGGGTGGAAGGAGTCACTATATACAAGAAACTAGAAGGATTGGGTTTGGGGGAAACCAGATGCTTGGATGAGGACCCTAAAGCCTAGGATTCCTGTCGCTGGGGGTCAGCTTCTGAGCAAGAGAGGTTTGTGGGGAGGAGTAACCCAGTCTACAAACGGGAGGGAGGCATGCAAACCACGTCAGTGGAGTCAGCACCCAGCAGGGAGGTGAGAAAGCCTGGTTAGTAGAGTTCACAGTCGGTGGGAAAGGGAAGGAATCATTCACACACCCCCACAGGCGTAGGGAGGGGACGTGGTCTTGGGGAGCAGAGCGGAGGAAAGAGGAGGCAGCAACAGTGTTGTGGCAGAAGTAGCACCAAAAGAGGGAAAAGCGTCCTCGGGGGCGGACGCAAGAAACGGAATAGGCAGTCCAAACTCAAACCCCGTGAAGAGGGAGAAGAGAGTGCAGGGGGACACAAGGCGATCCGCTCCCGCAGGGAAGGGAGGAGACCAGGCAGCCCGAGCCAAGAAAAGGGGAAAAGGAGGTGACCGGGCCCCGCACCCGGAGCGGGGACGGAGAGAGACGGATTCGCGAGTGTAGCTGAGAGGCCCGGCCCTGCCTGGGACCCCAAGCCAGCGCCCTCCGGAGCAAGGCCGCCACCCAGTGCCAGCTTTTCTCGATCCCCTGACGCCCGCCACACCCAGGCCTAAGCCTCGTCTCCGCGACTTCCGGGGATGTGAGAGGAACCAAGGTCTCACTGGCCGCCAGAGGGCGGACTCACCTCTCGCCGCAGCCGCAGCCTCCTCGTCGGCGCGCAGTTCCGGGCTCTGCGCACGCGCAGGCGCTGGGTTCCCGGATGTGGCTTTTCGGAAGACGCCGGACGTCGGGGACGTGGCCCGGGCGCCAGCGTCGCGGGCTGCGTGGCGGCCGCTGTGGCGGGTTTCCCCGGCAGTGGGAGGTGGGTGCTGCGTTTCCTCTCGCCCTGGTTTCCATCTTCCCTCCCTGCCGACAACAGAGAAAACGCCGGGAGCACACGTGAGCTGCCCGGAGAGCCGTTGCAGACGAGCACCGCCTGTCCTCCAGTTTGCTCGTTCCTCAGACGCCCCGAGCCCCGGGCCCGCACGGACGGGCGGGGTCCCCGGCGAACTCAAGCCCACGGAGTCGTGCTCTGTGGTTCTCTCGTGCCTAGCGCTTCCTCTTAGTGTCATCAGCTGCCCTGGTGGCCGTCGGTCCCTCTTCCTGTGGACGGCCATTTGGGCTGTTCGCGATTTGGAGTTGCTGCAGAGGAGCCTGCTGTGAACATCCAGCGTGTGTCTGCGGTGAGCCCGTGTTTGCAGGCCTGTCAGGTGAATAGCTAGGGCTTTAGCTGCCTGTTCCTGGGTGCAAATGTTCAGGCTAGGAGGCAAGACTAGTTCATGGACCACAGTGTAAATAAGAGTCCCAGTGGATCGCTCAAGGTCAGGAGTTCGAAACCAACCTGAGCGAGACTCCGTCTCTACTAAAAATAGAAACTAATTGACCAACTAAAATATATATAGAAAAAATTAGCCGGGCATGGTGGCGCATGCCTGTAGTCCTAGCTACTCGGGAGGCTGAGGCAGGAGGATCGTTTGAGCCCAGGAGTCTGTGAGCTAGGCTGACACCACTGGCACTCACTCTAGCCCGGGCAACAAAGCAAGACTCTGTCTCAATAAAAAAAAAAGTGCCAGTTCTGCATCCTTGTCAACACATGGTACTACTCATGTTTCTCGGAAAATAGGACTTACCCATAAAATAAACCCTAGCAGGATTTCTAAGCATTTGTCCAATAGAAGCCCCACCCCTAAAATAAGCCCTAGTGATGCCCGTGGCCACGCAGCGCATCTGCACAACCCATGCATTTCGTAGCAGAGCGGGGAAAGAACACCAGCAGCCCTTCTCATCTGCCCCATGAGAGCTACGGCTGGACATGAGAGATTGGGGCCAATGGTCCTAAAGGAAATAGAGTTGCAAGAAATTCAGGATGTAATTTGGGGTTTGGAGAGTTATGATGTTCCAGAAGAAGATGACTTAACTATATTTGAATAAATGTACATTGTTGTACCGTACTTAAAAAAATAACACATCCCCTAAAAATAAGCCCTAGGGTGTCTTCTTGAGGAAAAATAAGTATAAGACCCTATCTTATTTTCAGGGAAAGACGGTAGCTGTTGTCTTCATTGTAGCCATTAGGGTGGTGTGAAGTGTTATTTCATTGTGGTTTCTCTGGTGAATAATGAAATTGGACACATTTGCATGCATTTATTGGCCATTTAGATTTCCTCGTTCATGAGGGTGCCTGTTCAAGTCATTAGCCAACTTCTCTCTCAGCTTTTCCTTCTTATTGAGATGCTGAGTTCTTTACATATTCTGAAAACCAGAACTTTGTCAGATCTATGAGCCACAGTGGTCGTCTCCCACTCTGTCACTTGCCTTTTCACTTGCATAGTGAACACAAGTTCTTTTTTTTATGCTTTTGTCATTTTATCCTTTTTTTTGGGCCTCTAGATATGATGCCTTACATATCATGTTTATCAATCTTCCTTGATTTGGTTAAGAAATGTTTGCATATGCCAACATCACACACAAGTTCTGTATTTTCCTCTGGAAGCTTTATCATTTTGCCTTTCCCACTTAGGGCAGTAGTCCTCAGGAAATGATTTATGTACATGACAGGAGTCCTCAAACTATAACCTATGGGTCAAATCCAGTCCATGTCTGTTTATATATGGCCAAAGAGAAAAGAGTGTTTTTTACATTTTGGAATGGTTAAAAAATTTTTAAAGAATAATATTTCAAGACACATGAAAATGATATGAAATTCAAATTTTAGAGTCCATAAATAAAATTTTATTGGAACACAACCATTTGTGTTCAGATTTGTTTGCAGATTGTCTACAGTGGCTTTCATACTAGAATGGTTGTGTAGTTGAGTTGTAGCAGATTATACGGTGCACAGTCTAAAGTACTTATGTTTCCCTTTGTAGAAAAATTTGCTGACTCTTTGTATAATGTGCAGTATGACCACTGGATTTTAACTATTTTAAATGTCTGTAAAACCATGAGATTATCATTCCATACCCATTAGGATGGCTATAATTAAAAAAAGACAAAAAATAACTAGTGTCGGTAAGAATGTGGAGAAATCAAAATGCTCAAACAATGATGGTAGGAATATAAAATGATGCAGCTGCTTTGGATAAGTCTGACAGTTTCTCAAAAGGTTAACATAGAGTTACCATGTGACCTGGCAGTTCCACTCCTAGGTATCTACACAAGAGTACTGAAAACATGTATCCTGACAAAAAATTTGTACATAAATGTTCAGAGCAGCATTATTCAAAATTGCCAAAAGTGTAAACAACCCAAATGTCCATCACCTAATGAATGGATAAACAAAATACAACCATATGATGAAATATTCAGTCATACAAAGGATCAAAGTCCTCATCCATGCTACAACATGAATGAACCTTGAAATCAATCATTATGCTAAGTGCAAGAAACTAGTCACAAAGGACCACATGTTGTATGATTCCATTGATATATAATTTCTGGCATAGGCAAATCCATTGAGACAGAAAGATTAGTGGTTGCCAGGGGCTGGAGAAAGGAGAGAATGGGGAGTCACTATTAATGGATACAGGGTTTCTTTTGAGGGTGATGAAAACATTGTGGTATTAGAGAGTTGTGATTGTTGCACAACCTTGTAAAAATAATGAAAACCACTGAATGGTACCCTAAAAATTTTTTACTTAAAAATTAATGCATTTTACCAGAAATGACCACTGATTCTTTTGAATTCATTTGGTTACTCTAAGCCTAGACACGTCCATATACTTAAGTATTTGCTATTTTCTTCTAGGACTTGACTACTCTCAACCCATTATCTTTCAAGGTTTTAGGTGTTGCTCAGGTAAATGTGAAATTTTAATTGGGCAAAGGCAGTCTTGCTCTCCACATCTGTCTCTTCTCCAGTTGCTGTGCGTGAAGGAATTCCACCCATGGCCTTATTGCTTCTCCCTGGTATTTTTCACAGTGGAGGGGGTCTCCCCTCCCTAAATCCCACCCTCTGTCAGTCCATGACATGGCCCACCCTGGCTTCCCTCCTCCCTTCTCAACCATTTCTTCATCTGGCTGCCTAGTTTTCCTGTTTTTCCCATGTCTCTAGGTCTCCATCTTGGGTGCTCTTCTCTGCTCAGGTAATATGCTCCAAGGCCTACAAGGCCGTGTGTGCCTTCTCCCCATTCCATGTCCCCTCCCGCATCAGCACATGCTGCTCTCCGTGGGGCAGTCTTCTCTCACCACCCCTTGGTTAATCCCTCCTCCTCTTGAAGCCCTCTGTTCTTTTTGTTTCTTTTCCCTATTATGGTTCACACATTGCTGTTGTCATGATTGTTTGATAAATGTCCATCTTGCTTCACACAGCTCCATGTGAACACATCGTCTGTAGTGCTCACCGTTTGCTCCTATGGGACCAACCTGCTCAAATCTGAGATGCTCATCAAATGTTTGTTGATTGAATGAATGGAACTGGAAGACATTTTCCAAGACATCAATAATGATTGCTGGTGACAGGTGAGATTCCAGATAGTATTTTGGGGGTTCATGCTTTTCTTTACATTCCAAGTCGTCTTTTTCTTTTCTTTCTTTTTTTTCTAGAGAGAAAGGATCACTATAGAATTGAAAAACAAAGGTGTACACCAAAGGTACGGCTGCCCATTGTTCACTGTGCTGGTTCACTTTCATGTCACTCTTTTGCTTCAACAAGCACTGTGTGCTTGCTGCAGGATCCTAAGGGCTGGGGGTACAGCAGAAAACAGAACAAGGTATTTACATTCCATTGCGAGAGATACACAAGTACAGTGTGTTATTTTTCAGATAGCCGTCAACGCCTTAGGGAGAGACGGTGCGGGAAAGGGGGAAAGGAGTGTGCGTGTTGGGCAAGGGCAGTTGCAGTTTTAGATAGAGAGGTCAGAGAAGGCCACACTGAGAAGGATATGTGAGTAGTGATCTGTGGGAGGTGAGGGAAGGTATTGGGGGACAAAGATCCCCACAGAGAGAACAGCAATTGCACCGGCTGGGAGATGAGAACATGCCTGGTGGGTTTAGGAATAGTGGGGAGGCCACTGTGACTGGAACTGGAAGATGGGAAGAGATGGGGCCGGTGGGTGATGGGGCTATTTATTAAGACATTATTGCCATGCCAAAAAAAATTATGAATTAAGATAATGGTGGTAACCTGTCTTATGGTTGAAGATATTTGCTGCCTCTCCTCAAGGGAGGATTGTACACCCTTATCCTTGCCTCAGTGACTTCAGGCCTAGTTGTGCACTCGCTTTAGCAATCAAAGGTGAGTGAAAGTGTGGTGTCTTCTTGCTGAGCAGAAGCTTTTGGAGCCTCTGTGTGGATCCACCTATCCTCTTTCCATCTGCCATTAGGTCCACAATACCCAGGTAGAGGGGGACTGCCTGGGCCCTGGAGTGAAGGAAACATGGAGTAAAGTGAGCCAAGCTACAGTGGACATGTGACCCTGGGTGTTATGAGCCTTTGAGGTTTTCACTATCACTTGTTACTTCAGCTTAATTTAGCTTAAGCTAACTGATATAAGACACAACCAGAAAAACTGCCCTTTTAGAAAGTAAAATTACTTTTATAGCCTCTATACACCCATCAGAACTGAAGTGAAAAATAAAATCGATATGCCAAGTGCTGGTGAGGATGTGGAGTGACAAGGGGAACTCTCATTTGTTGTTGGTGGGAACAAAGGGGGGACAGTCACTTTGGAAAGGAGTTTTGCAGGTTCTCATCAAGTCAAACAGACTGACCATATGGCCTAGCAATTGTACTTTTGGGTATTTACCCAAGATAAATGAAAAGTTACCATCAGACAATATTGGACTTTATCAGAGACCTGTGCTTCTGGAGAAATCCCCCACCCTTTTGTGTTCTGAGAAACAGATAACCACACCATGGACCAGCCTACTCTCACTGCTGTCACCTATTCCGAGGTAAGATCTAGGTAGGGAGGGCCTTCACCATTCCTCATGTCTCCTGTAAGATTCACAGAAGACTGTTACCTGTATCTGCCTCAGTAACACGCTAGCCCTCCTTCCTTTCCTTTGAGATGTCCCGAATTAATAAATCCAGAGAAGCATGTGGATTAATAGAAACCTGGGCCATGCTAGCCATCCTTACATATATCCCCACCCTCCTAGTCTCTATATAGGATGGGAGAGCCCATCTGGAACTTCCACAGTTTGTGGGCTCTGGACTTGTTTTATGATGCTGAAAGGTGTCTTGCCATTGGCCAACCAAGGGGAGGGAATTAGGAAAAGAAGTAAGAGGCATTTCATCCTTTTCTGAGATTCCTCTTCACTAATGACCGCTCAATAGGATTTACTTTTCTAATCTAGTTCTGGAATTCACGCCTGTATGAATGCATGAAAGGCACCTTATTAGCAGGCCAGGTCTATGCTCAAAGAAGTCAGTAGTGACCAAGAAGGCTTTTTCTTTCTTTCTTTTTTTTTTTTAAAGCTAAGTTTATTAACTTGCTGGGCAAGGGAACTCATACTGAATTTGTCACTGACTGGGGAAGGTTAGAGTTTGAGAACTAGAAAGGGAAGTCTCTTAATTACCTATGGCTGCTATAACAAATTACCACAAACTTTGTGGCTTGAACTCAAACATCTATTCTCTTATAGCTTGTGGGGCGCGGTGTCAACGCCATTTACAAGTTGGCGCCTGTTTCCGGCTTTGCCTAGAGCAGCAAACAAGTTCAGCACATGCGCAATTGTCGGTTGCCCTGTGGCGCGAGAATGCAAACGAAGGGTCCTGCTATGGACTAATGCTTTGGTGGCTCGACAGCTGAGCGGCCTATCCCAGCTTAGGGGTTGTGCTTCTGGGGTTTATAGCAGCCTGCGCGCTGCCGGGCTGGGTCTTCCGCATCATGTAAGTCTAAAGGGAACCCCATTAAAGCGCTGTCAGAAGAACTCCGGTTGCCGCGTCTTCCTTGCTGGCGAGGCGGGCGCGACAATAGCTCTGGAGGCCTGAAGTCAGAAATCATTTTCCCTGGGCTAATAGTCAAGGTGTCAACAGGGTTGGTTCCTTCTGGAGGCTCTGTGGAGAATTTCTTTCCTCACCTTTCCCAGCTTCCCTGGCACATGGCCCCTTCCTCCATCTTCAAGGTGCAGCACTCCAGGTGGCTGCAGTGGCTCACACCTGTAATCCTAGCACTCTGGGAGGCCAAGGCTGGCGGATTGCTTGAGGTCAGGAGTTATAAACCAGCCTGAGCAACACCCTGTCTCTACCAAAAATAGAAAGAAATTAATTGACCAACTAAAAATACATATACAAAAAATTAGCCGGGCATGGTGACACATGCCTTGTAGTCCTAGCTACTTGGGAGGCTGAGGCAGAAGGATCGCTTGAGCCCAGGAGATTGAGGTTGCTGTGAGCTAGGCTGATGCCAGGACACTCACTCTAGCCTGGGCAACAAAGCCTGTCTCAAAAAAAAAAAAAAAAAAGTGTAGCACTCCCATCTCTGTTTCCGTCGTGGTCACCTCTCCTTCTCTGACTCAACCCCTGCCTCCATCTCACAAGGACCCTGTGATTACACTTTGGGCCCACCCTGACAATCCAGGATAATCTCATCTCAAAATCCCTAACTTGATCACATCTCAAAATCCCTAACTTGATCACATCTTCAAAGTTCCATTGCCATGCAAACTCACCTTCGAGGGTTCCAGAGATTTTAGGATGTAGACCTACTTGGGAGATCATCATCGGCCTACCACAGGATGGTCGTGTTAATGAAGGACTATAGCCCGGCCTGTGGGAGGACGGGGAGGGTCTGGGTCTGAACATGAATGGCTAAAACTAGCTGCACTAGCCATGAGGCAGTAGGGCCTATAAGGGGTGATGTGCCATGTCTCTGCTACCCCTCAGTCTTTCATAGCTTTGGGTGTCAGACCTGATGTGGATGAAGCCCAGAATCCAGTTTTGGTGTCTCCAAAGCAAGGGCTGCTGCAAATGGAGAGTTTTCCTTTTGCCCCAAAGGAGCTGATTTTCTAATTTGTATGAAGTGAGGCGTGGGCTGGTGGTGATCCTGCCAGAACCTTACCAAGGAGCCAGCTGCAAGAATACAAGGCACATCAGAGAAGGATCATCTTTAGTTTTCTCTTGTAACTGTAGAAAATTACCACAAATCTGCTGGGTGCAGTGGCCTGCACCTGTAGTCCCAGATACTCAGGAAGCTAAGGCAGGAGGATCACCTGATCCCAGGAATCCAGGACCAGGCTGGGCAACATAGTGAGACCCCATCTCAAAAAAAAAAGAAAAAAAATTACCACAAATTAATAGCAGCTTAAAATAGCACAGATTTATTATCTCACAGTTCTGTAGATCAGAAGTCCAGGTGGGTTTTGCTGAAATCAAAGTGTTAGTGGGCCTGGGCTCTTACCTGGAGGCTCTGGGAGAGAATCCAATTCTAGGCCCATTCAGATTGTTGGCAAATCCAATGTGATTGTAGCACTAAAGTCCCCATTTCTTGCCATTTGTCAATTAGCTGTCAGCTTCTAGACACTACCCACATTTGCTAGCTTGTGGTCCCTCCAGCTTTAAAACCAGCAACAGTGAGTTGAGTCCTTCCCATATTTCCCAAATTTCCTTCCCAAATTTCCCTACCTTCTCCTTCCTCAACATCTGACTCCAGCCAAAGTTCTCTGTTTTTAAGGGCTCTGTGTGAGATGGGGCCCAGTCCGGCAATCCAGAATAACATCCTGTCTGTCCCATGTCCCACTCACACCACACTCCCAATTGCCAGGCGACCATGGAATCCATCTGGAACTCACCCCCAGTCCACATCTCACAGCTTTTTTGATCAGAATTTCCATTGTCTGTAACTGGATTACAGTGGTCCCTCCCCCCCTTATCCACAATTGTTACCCACGGTCAAACTTGGTCTGAAAATATTAAATGGAAAATCCAGAAATAAACAATCCATGAGTTTTAAATTGTGTGCCATTTGGAGTAGCATGCTGAAATCTCATGCTGCCCCTCTCCACCCCAGGATGTGAGTCATCCATGCTGTATGTGCCACCAGCCCATTAGTCTAGAAGCCATCTTGGTCATCTGATTGACTGTCATAGTATCGCAGTGCTTGTGTTCAAGTTACCCTTTTCTTCTTTCTTTCCCTTTTCTCCTCTCTGTCTCTGTGTGTGTCTCTCTCTTTTTGAGACAGAGTCTCTCTCTGTCACCCTGGCTAGAGTGCAGTGGCATGATCTTAGCTCAGAGCAACCTCAAACTCGTGGGCTCAAGCAATCCTGCTGCCTCAGCCTCCTGAGTATCTGGGACTACAGGTATGCACCACCACAAGTGGTTAATTTGTAGAGGTGGGGTCTTGCTCTTGTTTAGGCTGGTCTTGAACTCCAGGAATCCTCCCACCTCAGCCTCCCAGAATGCTAGGATAACAGGCATGAGCCACTACATGCAGCCAAGTAACCCTTATTTTATAAATTGATGTATAAAGTAAACTTTTATCATAGGTATGTATGTATAAGGAAAGAAAAACCATATACAGTCAGCCCTCTGTATCTGTGGGTTCCACATCATTGGATTCAACCAACCTCAGATTGAAAATATTTTAAAATATTGTACTGAAGATGTACTGCCTTTTTTCCTTGTCATTATTCCCTAAATAATACAGTGTAACTATTTATATAGCATTTACATCCTATTAGGTATTATAAGTATTCTAGGGATGATCTAAAGTACATGGAGGAATGTGCATAGGGTATATCCAAATACAGTGCCATTTTATACCAGAGACCTAAGCATCTGAGGTAGGTCCCACAACCAATCCCTAGAGATACCAAGGGAAAATTGTATATGGTTATCTGAGGGTTCACAGGCATCCACTGGAGGTCTTAGAATGTTACCTCCCAGAGATATAGGGCGACTACTGTATTTTCATTATAGCAGTGATTCCTGCTCATTTGAGAAAACTTTTTTAAAAAAAGAGCAAGGGGAAAACAGTTCACAACAAAATTACATGGACTCAGTCCAATTCTGTGGTTGACACCTCTTCTTCAGGGTGCTTACCCTCTGGCCACAACTGGTCTGGAGATGAGCTGGTCCCAGAATCTGAAATGTGAAACCAAGAGGCAGAGATGCTGCTGACGTTAACACTGTAACACATGCATGTTTTACTTGGGGCAGCAGATGCCAAAGTGGAGTGCCCAGCCTGGCCCTTGGGTGTTCCAGACAGTCCACCAGGGATTTCTGTATGCCTTAAGATACACTTACTACTCGGAGGTACAAATCTGTAACTTATAAATGACTATGCATATCCTGGGAATGTGAGACCATTTTTTTCTTAATGATGGAGTTCTTGTAAAGAATGAACAAGAAGTGTATATTTCTCAGCCTCAGTACTGCTCACAATCTGAGCTGGGTAATGCTGCTGTGGGGGCCATCCCTCACCCCTACTGCGAGATGCCAGTAGCTTCCTCACATGCTCTATCACAAACACCCAAATGTCTCCACATGTCCCTCGGGGGCAGAATCACCATGGGATGAGAACCAGTGGTCTAGAGTAGAATAGTTAAATATGTCAAAGTGTATGCACACCGTGGAATATATATTGAGAAGAAACTATAACTGTATAGGGCAACATGGATGAGTCTAACATACAGTCCTGAGCAACAGTGCATGCTGCATATCTCCTTCATAAAGAACACACACAGTAAGGCAGACCTTACTCAACCGGGCTACTCCAATGGGGTTTTGTAGGTAGGGCTTCAGAGACTGGACTCAATACCAATTCCGACAAGGACCAGTGCGGGTCTGTGGATGGAAGATTACTAAGAGAAGACATCAGGGATAAGGGGGGAATTCTTGCTAGGCAATATTTTTGCTGAAGGCAGACCACAGCGAGAAGATACTGAGGGTGGGGGATGAGGAATTCAATCAGGTGTCAAGGGTGAAGGGAGGATTTTTGCTAAACTATTTTAACTTAGGATTCTTTCTTAACTGGGATCCTACAAGGACAGAAGTCCAAGATCAGGCTTCATTGAGCAGAGGACTCAGGGGGCCTGATTAAAGTTGGGCTGAGCAGAAGCAGTGTGCTTTTCTTTATGTGGGTTATGTGGAAAACACACACACAAATCTCTGGACAACACAAGCCCCACCCTGCTACCAGGGTCCCTGGGACACAGCACCACCCTCTCCTGATCTGAGGTGGTCCAGGGAAGTGCTCCACCAAGCAATCACTGATGCATGGGGGACTTTATTTCTCCAATTGCTTTCCCAAGGCCATTCTCTTCCCTCCCCCTCCCTTGCCTCCATTACCCACCTCCTCTCTCCATCTCTCTTGACTGGAGTTAACTCTCTCCTAGCTGCCAATGCTGGCTGCCCACCCTCCTCTGTGACACAGCCAACATGGGCTGGTGCAGGTCAGCCACCTTTTATGAGGAAGGCTGTAGTTAAGACAGCAGACGAGAGAAGACACACCTGTGAGAGAACGATGGCTGCTAGAAGGCCCTCCCTGCTGGCCTGAGGGTCAGGTCCATAGAATCCCAGCACTCTGGAGACCCAAGGTCACAATCACAGAACCTCAATGCTGCCAAGCCCAGGGGACTCACCCATTCTAGTCCTGTACTTGTTATCCTCACTGGCCACTGTGCTTTTCCCCTTGGGGAGAGGCAGTGTAGCTTGACTGCAATGCACAGTGGGATCCTTTTAAACCTCTGAAACTTCAGCTAAAATCCAGCCCAAGGTTCTGCCCACCCTTAGACCCAAAAGAGAAGTTATTTGGTGAAGAAATCTGGGGACAAGACAGCTGAGTGTGAGACTGGGAGTGTCAAGAATGATACTGCACTGAATCTGCAGAGGGATACTTTTACACACTGTTACCTCGTTCCTTCTCTTTGAGGTCTCTCTTTCTCTCTCTCTCTCTCTCTCTCCCTCCCGCTCCCTCTCCCTCTCTCCTCTCTTTCTCTTTCTTTCTCTCCCATCCCCTGGCTTGCAACTCTAGGGGGTGGTTGGGACATTTATAGAGAAGGGATGTACTTAGAAATGGATTTGATGGGGCAAGCAAACTTGTTCCACATTTCTCTTCAGCTGATGCTGCCTGGGAAGAGGCCACATGCCACACACTGAGGCATGATATGTGCTCCTAAAAAAGCTCATCTTAAGACAGCAGTTCAGAACTCAACTCCAACAAACTTCAGGATCAGGATTTCTTACCCACTCTTTTCAGAATCTGATGAAAGGACTCGCTTCACAGAAAGAAAAGGACACCCATACACATGAACTAGCCAGTCTTCACAAAAAGCCTGCCCACACCTCCATGGACCACAGGATGGGCTGCATTGGAGACAGGTGGGGATCCACTTCCTCTGTGAGGTTTATCTGAGGTTCTTCCTGTCAGGGAAGGGCACCCAAATGGAGAAGCCACAGATGCCTGGCTGGGTTTCTAACTCGTGCAACTCACAGCCTTCATTAGCTCAAAGTGGCTTTCACTCTGACTTGCCCATAGAAGCCAGGGAATACAAGATATGGGCAAGTCAAAATTCCAAGGGGATCCCCTCTCAGAGCTTTGATGCTGTGTTGACCAGCTTAACTACTTCACTTGGCTAGCAATGCACCACCTTGGAAGGGACATTCCAGGGTCATCCCAGGGAAAACATTCAGAAAGAGCTCAGATTTCACTGCAGCTTCCTGCTCCCCATTCTGAGACCCACTCTGTCCTCCACAATGGCACCCCTCATAATCCAAGTTCCATAGAAGAAAATGATTCTTATGCCCTGGGCTGAGATGCTCTGCTTCCACAGAAGCTTCTGCCTAGGTGACCCCACCATGCTTCCAGGTGCCCTGGATCCCTGATCTAGCCTCTATTAGCAAAGAAGTTCCAGAGAAACCCCCAGTTCACTTTTTGGCTTCACTTTATTTAGTCATTATCAAATTATTATACCAAAATGTATAATTTACAATACAGGGGAAAAAAACATACACAATTCCAGTTCCATAAGGAAACCACGTTTATTTATTTTCCATCATCCACTTCCAATCTACGTTCATATGTGCACATATGTTTACATAGCTGTAAAGATAGCAAACCTTCTGTTTACCATATTATAAACATTTTCAACATGGCAATAAGACCTTTATAATTATGGTTCAGAGAAGTTGAATGGGACAAATTAGAAGTGTCCTAAATGAATAACTGGTGCCAAGGGTGGAAGGTAACGTAAACATTAACAACTCAGTATTTTTTGTTTCAACAACTAAAGCAACAAATTGTGTTTATTCCCTTTCCATCTTAGCATGAGCTTCTTTTTTAGCTTTAAGAGGGACAACTTTGCTGTTCAGTCACAAGCAATTTCTCCATTGAGTTTCCCCTTCCGAAACAAGTCCTCAGCATTCTGTCAGGACTCAAACACAGAAATGCTTTCAAATAGCAAAATCTAACTATAATGCTGTAGTGCTGTGAGTGGAGTGTTGTATAGGATCTCTCACCAGTACCTGTTTGCTGATACAGAAAAGACAGTAAGAGCTCCTACCAAAAAGCTTCTCTTCCTGATTATATTTTAAAGGTCTGATTCTATTAAGAGTTTGTTTATGTACAATGAGGTGGAAACTCCCTATTAAAGGATTTCTCATACCGAATACCTTCACAGATTCTTTTTAGTTTAAGCATTCTGATGCAGAAGTGGGTTGGTATCTCAATGGAAGTACCTTCCACACATGCTCATGTTCTATTTCAGTGTATATGCTGTCATGTTTGGTATAGGCCGAACCATCCCTGAAGCTTTGTCCACATTTATTACCATCCTATGTTCCCTCCAGGAATTCTCCAATGAATAATTTAATAATCTGGCTAAGGAATGTCTCACATTTATCAGTTCACTGGATAGCTTAAAGAAATCTGCTGGGCACAGTGGCTCATGCCTGTAATCCCAGCACTTTGGGAGGCCAAGGCAGGAAGATCACTTGAAGCCAGGAGTTTGAGACCAGCCTGAGCAACATAGCAACATCCCATCTCTTAAAAAATATCTTTTCTACTGACCAGGGAGAAGTCACATCTGAAGACACACCTTCATGTAGGATTCTGAGAGCAAGTTGGGAGAAAACCGTGGCCCACATTCACTATGTTTCCATGGGTTGCTCTCCAGGGTGTGTCCTTTGATGTTGGATGAGAGAAGAGCTCTTTCTGAATGTTTTCCCACATTGAGGACACTGGCTGGGTCCCTCCCTGCTATGGAGTCTCTGATGTACTGCCAGGTGAGAATTCTGCTTGAAGGACTTTCCACATTCTGGACACTGATATGGGGTCTCCTTGGTGTGAATTCTCTGGTGCTTGGTCAGACAGGAGCTGTCCCTGAAAGCTTTGCCACACTGATTACACTCATAGGGCTTCTCACCAGTATGAGTCCTCTGGTGCCGAATAAGGCCAGCAATGTTCCTAAAAAGTTTTTGACACTGATTACAGCCATACGGCTTCTCGCCAGTATGAATCCTTTGGTGCCTGATGAGGTATGCACTCTCAATGAATGTTTTCCCACACTCTTTACATTCGTAAGGTTTCTCTCCAGAATGGATCTTTTGATGCACAATGAGGTGAGAGTTTCGGTTGAAGGATTTCCCACACTCCACACATTCAAAGGGCTTTTCTCCAGTGTGAGTCCTCTCATGTTGGGTAAGGTATGAGCCATCTCGGAAAGCCTTTCCACATTTGCTACACTCATAGGGCTTCTCACCAGTGTGGATTCTGAGGTGCACAGTGAGATGGGAGATGTCAGTGAAGGGTTTCCCACACTCATTACATCTATATGGTTTTTCCCCTGTATGAGTTCTTTGATGCAAAATCAGGGATGAATTTCGGTTGAAGGTTTTTCCACATTCTAGACATTCATAAGGTTTCTCACCTGTGTGAATTCTCTGGTGTTGTGTTACAGCTGACCCATCACTGAAAGCTTTCCCACACTTATTGCATTTATAGGGCTTCTCTCCTGTATGGATCCTTTGATGCACAATCAGGTTGTAGTTCTTGGAGAAGGATTTTCCACATGCATTACAGGTATAAGGTTTCTCTCCAGTGTGAGTTCGGTGATGCAAAACAAGAGAAGAGTTCCGTTTGAAGCATTTGCCACATTCAGTACATTTATACTGTTTCTCTCCAGGGTGATTCCTCCTGTTTTCATTAAGAGATGAGCTCAGGCTAAAGATGTCCCCAAAGTCCTTACCCTCATATAGTTTCTTGCCTCTCTTCATTACTTTTTGATGACCAAGAGAGGTAAAATGGTTAAAAGATTTAACACTTTCAGGGTATTTATAAGGTTTCCCTCTGATTTGATTTCTTCCAAATTGAGTAACTTCGATGGAATAGTTGAAGACTTTTCCATAGGCATTGTCACTAGTTCTCTTAGCTGCATAACTTTTGGGACAACTGTGTAAGGCTGGGTCACAATCCAGACTTCTAACATCTGAGTCATGTATATGGAAGCCATTTGTTATAGGAACTGTCTGAGCTGATGAAAGGTCTGAGCTTGCACTCAAATGTTCCCCGAAACCAGGATATTCACTAATTGCTTCCTGAGCCCTTGGTTTCTCTGGAGTTAAAGCTGATTGCCTCAAATGTTCCTCCTGGTTCTCATAGTCCCAACTATCCCCTAGAATGGAAAAACAAGGAACCTCCTTCATAAATCCTTCCATTTCTATGGCACAAGATAGTTCTTCCTCACGAATATTCTGAGCTGTCATTTTCAGTCTCATGCCCCAGGCTGAAAAGGAAAAGGCAGACTTAGGTATATGAAACTACATCTGGAAGAGGAATGGAAAATAATGATGGGCCAGTATGTATTTTTACTTGTTTTCCTTTTAAAATTCACATCTATAAAAGGGGAGGCAAAATGAGAGCCAAGACAGATTTGAAAAGAGCCCCACAGCATTTTCATCTTCTTAGAAAGCAGGTATGAGGAACAGTATTAAGGGTAAACATCACCAAAAGGATTAGTGTGATATGTGGGAGACCACAGACTGGCATCATAGCTCACACTGGAATTCCATCTTGGCCACTGCATCCTTGTCCCTGTTGCCCACTGCCCATCATACACATTTCCAATGCCCCAACTTCACAAGGTGCTTACAACAGCACTGAATATGCAGTGCCCTGTGGTTAGAGTCCTGCATTCATGGATGGGACACAGCACAGGCTCAGTGACCTGAAAGTTCTGGGTCTAAGTCCTAGATCTGTCAGTGACCACCTGCAGGGTTGTTAAGAAATCTGAATCATGTCTGAGGCAAGTCCTGTGGTAGGGAATTAAGAGTATTCTGTAAGCAGCTGTTCATGTCTTCATCATTACTAACCTTCCTTTCACCACCCTCTTCCTTTCATCCTTCCTTTCACCTCCCACTACTCTGACTTCACAATATTAAGACAAACGGTTCTCTATATTTTTTAAAGTAAAAGGAAATTATATTCTCGTCTCACAATATATATATTTTAAAATTTCAGATGGATAAAGACATCAATATAAAGTCAAGTTTAAATTATGTAGGACAGGTTGGGTGCAGTGGCCCATGCCTGTAATCCCAGCACTTTGGGAGGCAGGAGGATCGCTTAAGGCCAGGAGTTTGAGACCAGTCTGGGCAAAATAGCGAGACCCTATCTCTAACAAAAACTTTTTAAAAAATCATCTGGGTATAGTGGTGTGCACCTGTAGTCCCAGCTATTCAGGAGGCTAAGTCAGGAAGATAGCTAGAGCCCAGGAATTGGAGGTTGCAGTGAGATATGATTGGGCCACTACACTCCAGCTTGGGAGACAAAGTGAGACCCTGTCTATAAAAAAATAAATATATAAAATCTATATAAAATAAATTATGTAGGATACCTTCATGAGTGGGACAACAACCTTGATCAACAAAGCTTGAAAACAAAAACCAGGCTGGGTGCAGTGGCTCACGCCTATAATCGTAGGGCTCTGGGATGCTGAGGCGGGAGGATAGCTTGAGCTCAGGAGTTCGAGACCATCCCGAGCAGGAGCGAGACCCTGTCTCTACTAAAAATACAAAACAATTAGGCAGGCATGGTAGTGCACATCTATGGTCCTCAGGAGGCTGAGGTGGGGGGATCGCTTGAGCTTAGGAGTTTGAGGTTGCTGTGAGCTAGGGGAAGCCACAGCACTTACCCAGACAGCAGAGTAAAAGAATGTATCCAAAAAAAAAAAAAAACCCATACAGATGAACAAGTTTGATATATTTAAAATTTCCATACAATAAAATATAATAAGAGATAAAACCCAAGTGCCACATGGAAAGAAAATACTATAAAATATAGGGCTCCAAGTCTATATAGAATTCTTATTGAAAACCACAAAAAAAAAAAAATGGGGAAAGGATACAAAGATGCACTTCATGGATAGAAAACAGAAATGTGGCTGGTCTGAAGGTAGTGAGTTATCTCATTTGATTGTTCTCAGTCAGTTACAGATTTAACTCCTTGTTCTACTACTTTCCCCTCTCCTCATTACTGTACTCGACTAGTCTTAAAAAAAAAAAAGAACACAGAAATGTCATGAAAATGAGTATTTGCTCATTTTCATTATCATTTAGGCAATTACCAACTTAAAGAATACTCATATGGCCGGGCGCGGTGGCTCACGCCTGTAATCCTAGCTCTCTGGGAGGCCGAGGCGGGCGGATTGCTCGAGGTCAGGAGTTCGAAACCAGCTCTCGCAAGAGCGAGACCCCGTCTCTACTACAAATAGAAAGAAATTAATTGGCTGACTAATATATATAGAAAAAATTAGCCGGGCATGGTGGCGCATGCCTGTAATCCCAGCTACTCGGGAGGCTGAGGCAGCAGAATTGCTTGAGCCCAGGAGTTTGAGGTTGCTGTGAGCGAGGCTGACGCCACGGCACTCACTCTAGCCTGAACAACAAAGCGAGACTCTGTCTCAAAAAAAAAAAAAAATACTCATATGAAATGGGCAAATTTTGTAAATACAAATAAAGTGTGATAATATAAAGCTAGGGCAGGTCATGTGGGAAGACTTGGGAGGCAAGTTGTCAGTCTGCTTGGCAGGGCAACCTGGTAGCAACATTAAAACACAAAATGGGCATAACCCACCACCCAGCAATTCCACTTGTAGGTATCCCAGACTCAGAAAGCAAGATAAATGAACTCAATCCATACCTATGGAGATGGTCTTAAAGGCTGGCAGGGACAAGACAGACTGCTGGTGAAGGATGAAAATTATCATTGACAGATCACTTACTAGCAAAAGTCAAGTAGAAAAATACCAAAGGTAATGGAAGGTTACTTTCCAAGTGCTGGAGGAAAAAAATATCAGACACACTGTCTTTCAAGAGTGAAGGTTAAGATGAAGACAGCTTCAAAAAGCAAAACCAGAGTTCATCTCCAAGGACACTAGCCAAAATAATTAGAAAAACTCATGCTTCAGGAAAAAACACAGAAAGAATGAAAAGAAAAGGAACTGATGAATGCATATTTAAATGAAATCCAGTGCTGACCACATTAAATGCAGCAATAACAATGACTTTGGGAATTAGAAATACTGGACAGCAGTGGCCTGTAAGATGGAAAAGGGGTAATGAATTAAGTGTTCTGAAGCCCTAATATTGTTCATGACTCATGTTAGACCTGGCCAAGTCAGGAATGAAAGAATAAATGTAATGTAAAACTTCCAAGCCTACAGAGCAGTGGTTTTTATCCAGGGATGGTTTTACCCCCAGAAGACACCTGGCAATGTTTGGAGATGCTTTTGGTTGTCATGACTCGGGGGCAGATGACACTAGAGGCCAGGGATGTTGGTAAACATCCTATAATGCACAGGATGGCCCCCCGCAACAGAGTATGATCCAGCCCCAACCTTGTAGAGGGAGAGAGGAATAATAAAACCAGAACAATCCAGAAGAAGCTGGTCAGGAAAGCAGTACAAAAAGGACAGGCTAAATAGAAATATATGGTAAGATGTCACCAGTAGCAATAAATATAAGTGGCTTTAATGGACCAGATAAAGACTCTGTGTCAGAAGACAATGAGTAGGCCGGGTGTGGTGGCTCACGCCTGTAATCCTAGCACTCTGGGAGGCCAAGGCGGGCGGATTGCTCGAGATCAGGAGTTCAAAACCAGCAAGAGTGAGACCCCGTCTCTACTAAAAATAGAACGAAATTAATTGGCCAACTAATATATATATAGAAAAAATTAGCCGGGCATGGTGGTGCATGCCTGTAGTCCCAGCTACTCGGGAGGCTGAGGCAGGAGGATTGCCTGAGCCCAGGGGTTTCAGGTTGCTATGAGCTAGGCTGACGCCACGGCACTCACTCTAGCCTGGGCAACAAAGCAAGACTCTGTCTAAAAAAAAAAAAAAAGAAGACAATGAGTAAAACAAACCCCTATTTATTTGGAAAAATGAAAACCTGTTTCTCAGCAATTGACAAATTGATGGAAATTAGAAAACACCTAGAACTGCACAACAGTGAAAATGGCACATTTCTAAGCATGTGGCAAATGAGGATGCAGCAAACATAGACCCTAGACAGAAATGTCTTTAGTGCTTATATTTTAAAAAGACAAAAGATGAAGTTCCTATGGGTCCTGATGCATGGATTGCAGCATGTCAGCAGACATGGTGGCCTCCAAGGCTATCTACAAATTTTCTTCAGGCCATCAGCTATGGGTTGTATATACCACTGAAATGAATGGCAAAAACACATTTTGGTTTATGGATGAAGCATGGTGCCACCAAAATGGCCTTGTTGGCTTCACTATATGACTGATGATCCTTCAACAATAAATCTACTGCTCATACATCCATTGGATAAGCCATAAATTCCGCATGAGTGGCACTTCAGAACACTGTGTACGCTAGTGCATCACTAGAAAGAAGTTTCAGGGTGGCTGCCACCTTATAAGGTGTTAAACCTTATAAGTAAAGACAATGAAAAACAGTTTAAACATGTAAAATATGAGAATTTTTATGTAATCGTACTTATACTGCTTACCATTAACTTGATTAATAAAAAGAAGACAAAAAACTGAAGATTAGCAATCTCACTGTTCAACCTAAGACTGAAGGGAAAGAAGTGTGGACTAAACCAACAGGAGGTGGAAGGAAAGTGATAATAAAAATAAGACCAGAAATTAAGGAAACTAGAAACAAGAAAATAGCTGAGAAAATGAAGAAAACCAGGTCTGTTATTTGAAAAGACTCATGAAATAGGCATATCTTTGGCAAGGGTAATCATAAAAAAATGCAAGAAGGAAAGTGATATTAGCTGTGAAATGGAGATTTAACTAAGAAACAGTAGAAAGTTACCAAAATGGCAAAGTTGGGTATATCCTAGGAATGCAAGGACTTTGAAGCATCAGAACATCTATTACTTTAATTCCCCCTATTAACTGTCTTATACAAGAGAGTTCCCTTACACCTTATTGCAATACATTCAGAAAGCAGTATGAGGAAATCTCACCCACACTGATGATCAAAATACTGAGATTAAAGTAGTAGACCCCTTTACTCTATCTCAATAAATTCAGAAAGTGCTTGAAGGAAAGCTCAGACTCCTGATGAAAATTCTTAATGGGGAACATAGGGAATTAAGGTAAATATCACACCTAAAGAGGAAACATAAAAATCATCCATTTTTAAGCCAAGGCCAACCCCTCAGACACTGACTATGTGCACAGCATTCAACAGTGATGTGAAGGGGCCAGCTGGTCAGGAGGACTATGCTTCCAGCTGCCACTCCTGGACAC